CCGCAGACAGCAGCTTCTCGTGGAAATCCGGCCCCACTACCTCAGCCTTCACTGCCTCGTCGACAGAGAAGAGCTTGTTGGTCATGGGGTCGATGATGTAGCCAGTGGCAGCCTGCGCTTCCAGCAGGGACAGGGCGATCTCGGGCTTCAGCAGGTTCCTCTTCAGGGCGTCGTAGAAGGTGAGCTTCTGGCCGGTGGACTCCACCAGGACGCCAGCAACAGTGTCCGTGCCCTTCAGGTACTGCCGTACGGACTCCAGCTCCGCCACCTCCTGCACAGACTTCTTGCCCTGGTGCAGCTGGTTGTAGAGGTCCTTGGTGATTATTTTGCTTTCCAGCAGCTTGGCGGCAGGTACGGGTGCCCGCAGGCCCTCAAAGCACATCTGCCTCTTCTTCTCACTTTCCTCCACAACCGTGATGATGATCTTAATGATCTTCTCCACCGTGATCTTGCCAGTCCTGTACTGCTGGATCAGGTCCCGCCTTTGGTCCTCAGTGAAGTATTCGGAGTTGATGATCTCCCAGATAGTCACCGTCTTCCCTTGGAACTTGCCAAACGGTGCCGTCACCGTGGCCTTCTTGAAGACGTCCTTGGCTTCTTTGTCAGTGTAGACCAGCTCTCTCGCTTTGGCCGCCTGGTCAGTGAGCGGCAGGAGGCACAGTCCTGTGTCCGGGTCGGTCACGCACCGCTCCATGAGCTGCAGGTAGGTGAGGTTCTCCTGTGTGTTGGGGTCGAAGAAGCCCTTGGTGTCATCGCTGGGGTCGGAGAGGGTCCGGTTCATCTCCTCATCGAAGTAGCCACGCTTGTAGGCAGCTTCAATGGGGAGGCGGTGGCTGTGCACGGGGTCGATGATGCCACCGGTGGCAATCTGAGCCTCCAGCAGGCGGATGCCGTGCTCCTTGACGATGAGGTCCTTCGTCATGGCCTGGAAGAGGGAGATCTTGTCACCCGTGTACGGATCCTTGTAGCCGGTGACGGCCCGTTCAGCAGAGAGCATCTTGTTGTGCAGCTCTGGCCCGATCACTCCTTCTCGCACCGCCTCGCTCACCAAGAGCCTCACGTTCCGCACAGGGTCGATGATGAAGCCAGAGGCAGCCTGTGCTTCCAGCAGGACCAGCGCGGTGCCCGGGCTGAGCAGCTGCTTCTTCATGGCTTCGTAGATGCTCATCTTCTGGTTGGTGGGTTTGATTAACAAACCGGCGATGCTGCTCTTGCCCTGCAGGTACTTCTTGATGTCTTCCTTCTGCGAGAGCTCGTCAACGCTCACGACGCCCTTCGCCAACTTGTCTAAGCTCTCCTTGCTCAGAATGCCGGCGTCAGCCAGCTTCTCTGCAGAGACCTTCTGACGGATGCCGTCGAACACAAACTCTGGCTCCCCATTCTGCGCCAGACCATCCACCGCATCTCTGCCGTTGGGCACGGCTTTGATATCAGGCAGCTGCGTCGTCGTGACTGCCACCTCCTCGGGCAGGTCATCCGTCTGGATCATGATCTCTCGTGTCTGGGCCAGGGCGGCCTTGTACTCTTCCTCCATCTGCTCCAGCCTCTCCCTCAGCTTCTTGTTCTCCCGCCCGCTGCCCCTGCCTCTCCAGCTGCTGCAGCTCCTCCTGCTTCTGCCGGACATTCTCCTCGGCTTTTTGCTGGTGTTTCTTGGCCTCGTCCAGCATGGCCTTCAGCTGCTGCTTCTCCTGCTCCATCTCCTTCTGCTGCCGCTCCTGCTCTGCCTTCAGGTTCTGGGCTTTGTCCACCTCGTCTTTGAAGAGCTTCTCCAGCTTCATCTTCTCCTCCTCGATGAACTTCTCCTTCTGCAGCA